CCTGTCAAAATCAGCTCTGTTCACAGCGAGCCGTTTTGTTGCATTTCCCTTTAAATGCTAATGAGCTCTGCTGACCCCGCCCCTCTCTTCTGTGGGGCGATGAGCTGTCCTCATGAGACTGTTTAATTTAGCCGCGGAACTCGCTAACTAGCACATTATTAGGAAAGGCGATTTGCAAAGTTTCATAAAAGAACCTCATACTCACTTCTTCTGTAGGTGAAGCTGGATCACAAATGATTTGCGCGAACATAGACACATTTTTGTAGATCGGGGGAGCATTCCCTTCAAAAACAAACGTAATCCTCTGTGTCTTCAGCGGCTCAGATGTCGGGAGTAAATGACGACTGCTATTTTGAGAAAGAGGATATTATTTATAGAGATTTAAAAAATACCACTGGGTGGAGTTTTATCATTAGGATGGATGTGTACGAACACTGCCAACACACATTTCTGTTCAAATAACATGTAAAAGTAAGAACTTGTGTGTGATTCTGGAACAACCTCTCTTCTGTGGGGCGATGAGCTGTCCTCATGAGACTGTTTAATTTAGCCGCGGAACTCGCTAACTAGCACATTATTAGGAAAGGCGATTTGCAAAGTTTCATAAAAGAACCTCATACTCACTTCTTCTGTAGGTGAAGCTGGATCACAAATGATTTGCTTCAAATAACATGTAAAAGTAAGAACTTGTGTGTGATTCTGGAACATGATCTGATCCCAGCGATTATTCAAAATAAATAAGTACATTTTATCCACAGAAAGGTTCATTTCCTACAGTTTGATATAGTGCCCTATAAGGTCATGGGCTTGATTTCCAGAGTATGCAAGAACTGATTAAATCTATACTTTAAATGCAATGTAAATCATTTTAGATAAAAACTAGAAATGCACGATACTAAATTTCTCTGCTGATACCTATAGTGATTATTCAGAATGCCATCTGCCAACGTTTAATGCACTTCAGGTTTCTTTCTCTTTGTATTTTTATATCAACACCTCAGTCGCTTAGGAGTCATTCTGGTCTACATCTCTAGGTGGGAATCCGCTCTAGGTGGGAATCCGCTCTAGGTGGCGCTTTTAAGGGCAGCCGCATGAAAGTTGAGCTGTTTGGCAGTCGGGTCTTTTTAGCTTTTTAAACAATTTTAACTTAATATAGTTTAGTACGGTACACAATTATCCTATTTAGAGGTAGTTCAAAAGTAATCTAAATGTAATCAAAAAGCAGTCAGATTACATTACCTACAAATATATAATGTAGTGGATTACATTGCTATCTACAGTTTTATAGTTTCATGTAATTTAGAATCAGTAACGGATTATGATTTATAAATAATCTACCCAGCTCTGTATAAATAGCAGTTGTTATTGTATTTTTTTATCCAACTAACCAACTGTGCACATTGGATAACTTTCCTGAGGTAAATGCGAAGTAAAGTGACATACAGATCACAAGATATTCTATTTTTCCACAGTTGAAACATTTAAGAGCATCAAAACAACATTTTTATGTTTGAATTTCGTGATAAAATTGACAGAATGTGACCACTGAGACTTTGTTTCATATCAGAAGTAACAAATCACAAAGTTTTATGCGATTACTGGATGGGAGGTGTATTACAAATAATGTCTGGTGAAGGGAAAAACTGTGGACTTGGCATCCCTGGTTTAAACCACAGGTGATTCATGAGGTCAAAGAGCCTGTGCTATTTTTTTTTTAAAGCATTAAAGTGAGATTTCATTCGTGCATTATTATTGCATTAACTTCAACAGCCCTAAATTCTACACACATAAGTTGCTGTCTGACACTTTTTTCCCACCCCCTTTTGATCGGGCCCTGATCATTGGATTTAAAACAATCGGCCACTAAACAATTGATTGGCTGCATCCCTAATAAAAACATCTCCCAAATGCATAAATGTAAAATAAAGGGCAATGTAAAGTGGCTGGAGTAGCTGAAGACCAAAAATACCAACAGGCTGTCCATTACCAGTTAGTCACCAAATCAAAACTGTCGGAAGCTGGAGCAACCACTGAACCTAGAAACCACGCATTTCAAAACTAATCATAATAAACCAAGAGAAAACTGAAGATACTCCAGGAAATATGAGTCACCTACTTGGGGTTGGAAAAAACACAAGATGAAGAGAAAATACAAACATGTACAGAACACTTTAGTCTAGTTAAAGCGCTTCGATAGTGAAGTTGAAGCGCTGTTTGTCTCCCATCAGCCAAGTGGGAGCTGTAAGGATTTTACACCACAGAATGGAAAATATGACAAGCAGCTCAGAATCCAGAGTAAAGGAGGAAAACACATGAAGCTGAAGGCCTGTGACTTACTAAACTAAACCCTTTACAACGGATTGAAAACAGCCGATTAATGGCACAGGAACAATACAGGAGTACGTTATTTCACTCACGGAAAGAGGATACAAAAATAATCATCTCTTATTTGAATTGTTTTCATTTTAAAATGATCTATTTACTATACATTTCCTTTTTTTATGATTCATTTAGTTATTAGCTTTTCATCAACCCACAGGAGTTTGTGAATCCTAGTTTAGGAAGCTCTGAATCATCACAGACATGATAGACTTCATCGTTTTACTAATTCAGAAACCACTTTTGCTTTTTCTCCCAATCATTCTCAGATACTTCTCTAAAGAGTTATTGGAAATACCACATACTGTAAATGTCACGTTGAGTTAACCAGCTCAATTTATGCTCAAATAATTTCTGCAATATAGTAACACACTAATGTTCTGAAGTGACACATTATACTTCTGGATAAACCGAACACATCTGAGAGGAAAATAAACCCTTAACACAGGCAGGAATGGTGCATAAATACAAAGGTGATTCAGCAGTAAGTGAGAATTATTACCAGGAACCCAACAGACAGCCATGATTCAAGAAACCTGATGTGTGGACTTCATTATATTTAGACCAGAGTTCCTGAACAATCCCCTCATAAACCCTAAATCAGAGCAGAAGCACGAGGAGCTGTATGAAAGAATGAAAAAGCCAAGCCAAGCAGGTTTAATCATACCATAATAGACTAGGATTGACAGTTCTGGACTTTCTTGCATGCAACTTGTTTTCATCATCAAGCACACATTGCCTTCATTCTCTGCTTTACAATGTAACCTCAGAGTTCAGACAAAATAGAAACTATCAACTGTATTTTTCTTGGATAATGACTTGATGACTTCTGTATTAGATATAATGTTATTCTGACCTTGAATTCACAGGGGAGAATTTATGCTCTATTTTGACATAAAATGAACAAAGTGTATGACTCAAACCGACATGATTATGGAGAACAAAATAAGAACAAAACAATGAACTACATTTGTAGTGAACATAACAAAAACTAATTTATGAGATTCCAGAAGTATTAATCTAGTGGTTTACTTTGCTAAAAATGTGCTCACCCTCCATCCAAGATTAGGATGAGTTTGTTTCTTCATCAGATTTGGACAAATGTAGCACTGCATCAGTGTCTCAGCAATGGATGCTCTGCAGTGAATGGGTGCCGTCAGAATGAGAGTCCAAACAGCTGATAAAAACATCACAATAATTCACAAGTAATCCACACCACTCCAGTCCATCAGATAATGTCTTGAGAAGTGGAAAAAAATAAAAAATAAATAAATAAATAAATCCATCATTAAGGCATTTCAACTTTAAACCATCGGTTCTGGCCATAATCCATAATAACGCTTCCTCCAGCGATAAAGTCCATCTCCTGTTGTCTCTCACATCAAAATCCAGCCACATATTTGTTTAGAGCTGTTTTGTTTTAGCTTGTAAACAGTGCTTGATCTGTGCAGATTTCTCTCCTGATTCAGACCAGAACACTTTTTCACTGCAGGAAGAGTTATTATGGATTATGGATATTATATCCAGACATTAACTGATGGACTGGAGTGCTGTGGATTACTTGTGGATTATTGTGATGTTTTTATCAGCTGTTTGGACTCTCATTCTGACAGCACCCATTCACTGCAGAGCATCCATTGCTGAGACACTGATGCAATGCTACATTTCTCCAAATCTGATGAAGAAACAAACTCATCCTAATCTTGGATGGCCTGAGCGCGAGCACATTTTTAGCAAATTTAATTTGTCAACTATTCCTTTAATTTACATTGATCAACAACACACGTTTATCAATGAAAACTCAACTGTGCTGGTTTGATGCACAATGAACATACATTTGAGCTGCCTTTTGCCATTTCCAAATGAAACGAACGAGTAAATGATGCATTTTTATTCTTAAGTGAACTATGCTATTTCTTTAAGTATATTAATTAGTGCTGTCAAATGATTAATCACAATTAATCGCATACAAAATAATAGTATTTTTTTTTATAATTTTTAAGGCACTACTCATTTCATTAGTGCAAAATAAATAAATGCATTAATTAATTAAATAAAATAGAAGTGCAATACATGTCCAGTACTTCAAACACGTAAATGGCATACATTTTTTGGTTAAATTACGTTTTTGTTTTGTTTTTTAAATATGGTTTCTAATTTTCAGTCTTGTGATGTAACCTACCTGCAACCAAGACACAGATTTGTGAAAACGTTTTTTCCTGAGGCTTTAACAATCACTCAACAGTGATGCCGTCTAGAAAGCTGACACGATTTTGAAACGCAGCCCAAGTCAGTGTTTGATGAAAAGCGTGTTGTCTTTTCCTCCTCTGGTGCTTATCACTGGTTAAAATAAGCAGGAATGTTGCATAACTTATGTATAAAACTCGCTGTAGCAGTAACATCAGTGTGGCAGCCTAAAAGCCGAATAGTTGCTCCAGTCTCCAGTCCTTCAAAAAAACTGAAAGAGATCGTGTTTGTCGCCAGACACACAATAGAGTATTGTATTCGTTTCATAACAACGAGATTCTAACTTGAGTTTCACATCTTCACAAGACTTCTAAGTGTTCCTCCTCTCTCACTACAGCTCAGACACATCACTAGTAGACTGCTGTTTCTCTTACCGTTCACTGTGTTCAGCGTTATTCTCTCTTCAGTCTTCCGTCTGTGCTGCTGCTGCTGCGCTAGTTTGAACCCGCGCCTCTCCTCTCCTGTGCTGTCAGAGCTCTGCAGTGATTAGTGTTCACTCTGTAGTGCGCACTGCCTCGACAGCACACCCCGCAGCTGCTGGACTGCGTGGAAATGTGAGTGACGCTTTACCTGCTGCGCTTCACTTCCTTAAAAGCAGAACTATTCTGGCTGCTCACGATTTAAAGAAATAAAGACGTTCGGAGTGAGAACTATTGGACAGGGATCAAAATCATGGAAAACCAAGACTATTTTGTGGGAATTTTCAAGGAAATGTGCCAAGATCTAACATGTTTCATTGGCTAATATTATTTCATTTATGCTTTAGTCGCCATCTATTATGAACAATTGGAATTGCAGATGTGTTATATAAATCAAAGCTAAGCATAACATGCAAAGTAGGGTTAAACATCAAATGTCTTGACAATATCCATTTAGACCTAGCATTCTATTTTCTCACTTAAACAAATATAGCGTTTATTGAATTCATTGAGATCAACCATCAAAGTTAGCATAAGGAAAATAATCCATTTTTTTTTCTCTAGAACTAGCCAATCCTTGCTGAGTGATTTTGGTTTAAGCCTGTATTTCTATTTTGTTTGAATCTTTTAGTATTTCATTATTATGTACATTTGAGTTCGATCATGACTGACATCAACATTTGTGAGCGATCTTCTCTATTGCTATCACACCATATTAGTTCAAAGATTGGCTTGATTAACTAAATTTGAAACACATGTTGTTTTCATGTGGCATTGAATATTGTATGCGTGAAATTAATATTTAATGCAATAATAATATTTATGGTTTCTTAAAGTCTTTATTGTACTGTATAGCAAATATTTCCTTTTAATATACGTGTGTCTGCATGCATACAGCCATAAACTCTTTATTGGTTTATAGATTTGTAGTTAATGACTGTTAACACCTGCTATAAACCTTAATGAACCATATCAACAGATCAGTTTGTGATAATTAAACACAGACACAACATTAAACATAGCACACATTTCCTGTACATTATGCCATACACGGATGCAAATAGCAATCATTTTGATTTTGTAACTGGATAAAATATTGTACCCATTTATTCATTTCTTTACAAAACTACTATTTTGAAACTTGGAGCAAGTGAGAGCAGCTAACAGCTGGACATTAACATGAAGAAGTGTGATTAAATGAAAATGGAAAACGAGTTGCCCTTCATGATGATTTTCTTACTGTACATTTATGATATATGATTATATACAGGCTATTTATAGATTTGACTTTTTTACTGCTATTGTAGTCTCTCCAAATCAGACGAGGATTTCGTCTCAAGCTCTGTCACAGAACACAAAGACGATGCACTAGTTTGTTTTGCCATATTTATGGTCATTCAAAAACAGAATAAAATTACCATAAATCAAAATTAAAAAGATAATAATCTGATACTTCATAATCATGAGTTAAAACTGAGATTACACCATGCTGTTTTCTAATACATCCAGCGACTGCCAATGAAGAGCTGCTTAAACAGAGTATTGTTCAGCACATTGCTTTTCTACCTCAGTAAATCCAACTAAATATTTTATGAGCCGTTTTATTTAATATTCATTTAATGTGCCGTTACCAAACTGTCTAAATAATGGTTTAAAACCCTTATTTGCAATATATATATTTTCATTTACAATTTAGGCTACTGTTGCAATTTCAAACTACTGCTGACAGTAAACCTGCTCCAAAGTTTAGTTAAGCAACTTATTTGAGTTTTATGCCATAATTGTAAACTGTTTTGAAGACCGCTCTCTTGTGGAGATGGGACATTACAGCCTGCATGATGGGAAAAACACATGAAATAAAGGCATGCTGAATCACCCTCTTGTGATTTTAAATAAAAATGATTTTATTTATTTATTTGTCAGGTAAATGGCATTTTTACAATCTTAAAACAGCAGGCCATGCAGCGCACTGCTGGCATCTGAGAAAAACAAAACCAAATAAACAAAACAATAATAATCTTCATTTCTGGCTCCGAAACCACCTTCATATGGAGACAATACTGACAAGAAGTGATGCACTAAAAAGGCACAGAAAGAGCACTTCATTAGTGTATGACACGCGTTCAGAAAGGCTATACGCTCCTGCAGCAGAATCAAACGAGTGTGGATATTCATCAGTTAAGGCAGGAACAGCTAAATAAAACCACCAGAAGCTCCTTCTCATCAGAGATATAATCTACATGATTTTATTCCAGCCAGGAGCTCCAGACTTCTTGCAATTCTTCATATGCACTTATATATATATTTCTAAAAGTCCTTAAGATCGACAGGCACCCATCCATAAATGTCAAAAAATGGCTTTTTTTCGCTCTCTTCTGGAAAAAATACGCTTCCAAAAATGACAGAAAAAAGCAGCAACAAAATAACTGTACAATGTTGTTTTTAAAACCTGTGTTTTTTACATTAGATACAAAAAAACTAATCTAATACTTCAGGAAAATTGGAAATTGCATGGTTTGTGACGTATCGCTGGTGCGTATTAAAGACACGCTTTTGAATAATACTATACTGGTTCACAATAATAAAGAGTGATGAATAAAATAACAGACTCCATAATAAAAAGAAACTTCCTACAACGGGAAATCGATGACCTTCAAAAGCAGTCTGATTCATAAACGTTCTCCTATGTTGCAAGCTGCTACAAAAAAAAGTGGACGACTCTCCTTCATAGTGTAAAAAAATATCTGTCTCATTACATGTAATGTAGTGTTGAACACACACGAACCTTCAAGCGACAGCTTATCTTCCAAGTGCTTAGAAAGGACCAAACTGAAGACTGCGGAGCTGAAGCGTAGCATCTTTACTCATCGGTCGATAGCGTTCAGAAGCAGCAACGTTAAAGCTAGTGTAACATTTCCTTCTCTAGTGTCTCTAAGACGTCACTTTAAAGTGAGTTATCATTAAAGGTTAACAGGCACAAACGAGCACCGCACATTCGACAGATACCCAGAGAGACGACGTAAATTAGTGACAAATAAATAACCGGCATTTCTGCTGTGCGCAAAGCTGGCGTAGTTCTACTTTAGGGTCAAAGGTCATAGATATAGGTCGTGTATAACAGTCAGCTACTATCGCTTCATCTCAAACTCTCAAATCACTTCTGGAGGGAAGCAGTAAACGGCTCTGCTGAAACAGAGCTTCATGTCTGCTAGTGTTTTGAACGCATTCATGCGCATAAACAGAATTAAAAAAAACAAACAGTTATGATGCGGCCACGATGGAGTGGTTAAAAAGAGATGAAGGAGAAGAAGAAGAAGAGGTGTGAAAGAGTGAGTGTTGCGGCGCTCAGACCCAGCCGCTGGTCAGAGATATAGGTCGTGTATAACGGTCAGCTACTATCGCTTCATCTCAAACTCTCAAATCACTTCTGGAGGGAAGCAGCAAACGGCTCTGCTGAAACAGAGCTTCATGTCTGCTAGTGTTTTGAACGCATTCATGCGCATAAACAGAATTAAAAAAAACAAACAGTTATGATGCGGCCACGATGGAGTGGTTAAAAAGAGATGAAGGAGAAGAAGAAGAAGAGGTGTGAAAGAGTGAGTGTTGCGGCGCTCAGACCCAGCCGCTGGTCAGCTTGTAGAACATCTCCTCGTCTAGAGACTCGTTCTGGTCCTTGGCACGCGTGGACAGGAAGATGTAGCCGCCGATGAACTCGTGCACCACTTTGCAGTCCACCTCGGCACAGATGAACGCCAGACTGGGCTCGTCTGCAAACTCCACCGTCACCTGCGTGAGAGCAGAGCAGATGCTGATGTGAGGTCAAGGAGATGCGTGCTGATTTATAGATGTTAAACCCACAGTCTAGAGGTCTGTAAATGATCAAACTCTGCTGTTAAACCTGCTTCACACTCAATCTGCTCTATGTCTACCATCGTCTGTTTGATAGTTTAGAGTTGCAGTAAAAGCTCTTTTAGTGTAATTGTAGAAATTGCTTCTTGTGTGTTTCTGCTGTCAAATCTTGACTGATTTTGATCAAGTAAAGATCAGAATAACTGCAGAAATATCTCCAGATGAACTCTTACTGGACTGAAGCAGCTCAGCTTTCCTTGATTCTCCATCAATCATGTTTTAGAGTCTCAAATCTGATCCTCAGGATCTTTTGAGGAGCGTTTGTTTCCAGAAGCTTTACTTTCACTGTTCCTCAGCGGAGGAATGATCTTCACAAGCCTCCAGAACATCTCACATCTTCTGAGGAGCCTTTATTTCTTCAGCTCTCAATCACTGCATTATATGTTTGGATCATTTCAATAATTTCAGTTCATCTTACTGAGACAGATTACTGGAGATATAGAGACGACTGATATTTAGATCATTTTAGTTCTGCTGTACTGTTATAAACATCTCACTGATTTACAAGCATCAGAATTTCATGTCACATATATATATATATATATATATATATATATCAGCATCTGCACCAAGTTGCATATTTTTGCTCAGTCTCTGAATAATTTGAATCTCTGAGCTGTTTTTTTTCTTCTATAGTCTGACCATTTCAGACTATGAGCCATAAATCATAATATTTAGAAAACACATGCAAAGGATCAACAAACGGTTCCATTTCAAAAACTTTTTTTTTTTTAATTTTTCTGACTATTATTTCATGTCAGGCCACTAAGCCAAGGGATTTTTTTTCACTCAATAGCTGAGGTGTCACAACCATTAACTATAAAAAGCCAAAATTCAGAGAATTCTGATTGAGGGCTGTGTGCTGAAAGTAAATGCTGCATTATATCCAACTATATTATATAATAATTTACATTTTTTTCAAATTCAATCGGTTATGCTATGTTTTTTAACCATGTATTATATTATCATATTTTAAGTAATCTTAATTTTTCTCATGCTTGTTTCCAATAATGTACCTTAGGTATCATATTTTCTGTAAGTGAATGTTTATTGCGTTATTGTAGTGTCATGTGTGTTATCCTGATAGTATCTGCTAGTGTTTTGTGTTTATGACCCTGTGCATCATCATGTTTTATGGACAGACCACTGAACTCTGATTCATCATGTGGCTTTCTGTATTACTATGGTGCTGATCGGTATATGTAAACATAGTATTATATGACTCAGAATCACAGTATGTCAGATCTTCTGCAATCAGAATGAGCCATAGTTACAAATGGCCTTAATAGACCTTTATCACACTTCCTATATCCGTCATGTGAAGCAGTGTATCGTCACTTCCGGTCCCGTCGCACCACAATCAAAACTAATGGGAGAATCCTTTCTTTCTTTCTTTTTTTCGCCGGTGTTACTGCAGCGTACCGGTCTGCTTTCATTTTAAACAACGACACTGCGTCAGTTTTCAGGATGAACCGCGAGCCGGTTGAAAATCGATTCAAATCGGTTGAGATGCCAAACAAATCGCGATACAATTGGAGCAGGACTTTATATGAATGCATCTCGGAGGGGAACTGACTGTCCTTAGAAAAGTTTAGATGGCATTTTCTTTTCATCTTGCCTCTGAACGATGCATATTAAAGTAGAGTGAATAAGCGCAGCTCTGCTTTGTTTACAGTGGTAAAACACTGTATCATTGCTGTTCATAAGCACCACCTGCTGGCAGAGAGTGAATCTGCATCTCATTCAGCCCGTCTGCTGTTTCCTTCAGATACGTTTTATGTATAGTTTCACAAAACTAAAGTCAGACCATTCTGTTTTTGCTTCAAATTTCGAAATTATACAATCTAATTTAGATTAAAACTGCTCATGTTGCATGCATGCTGAATCTTTGTTTGGATCATGATTAAAATGCAGTGGTTGCCTCTCATTTTAAATGGAAAGAGCTTATTTTGTTTATATGAAGAACTTTCTTTTATTTGTGAAACTTATTTATTTGATTTGGGGTTTGTTTTAAAATTTCAATTTAGTTTTGTTATTTCAATTTCACAAAGAAACGTGCAGCAATAACCTAATGAAAGGACACCTTTTCATTTACCGTATAATGTCTTCAATCTCATTTTGTTAAAAAAAAATCGTGAGAAAACCGAATCGTGAAATCAAAACCGTGAATCTAATCGTTTCGGGAGTTGAGTGAATCGTTACATCCCTAATCATCAGACTGATGCAGTATGCATTTCAAACTGAGGATGTTTAAGCCTACATCTCATATCACCTGCTGAAATGTTCATATTAGTATATTTCACTTCCAAATGTGCATTCTGAATAATAAATACATTTACTTCCCAACTAACCTGCTGCAGTCAAGTTCGTCTTCTCATTAACAATGTTTTTCTCTTACTGATCATATTTCTTACCCGTTTACATTTTTAAATAAATTTGACTGATAAACACCCCTACAAAAATTAACCATGGTTTTACTATAGTAAATATGCAGTAACTATGTTTGTTTTTTGTTTTCCATTTGCATTACCACAGTTTTACTACACACACCATGGTTAAACTATGGTTAGCAAAACCATGGTTAATTTTCATAAGAGCGGTATTCAAACAGATGAATGAATGTGCGGAAGTTGCCTTAAAGAAGTTTTACAATGTTAAACATTTAGGCTAATTAATCTTGAACAGTATAACGCGTTGACAGCATGACTTTGAATTAATTAATTACAAATTTTGGCATACATATTTGAATTACATAACAGTGAAATGACTGTCAATAAAAAACGACAGAATAATGACTAAAATTTAATACAAGTGAATAAATATGTTAACCCTCTTAGCGCCAAAGTCGCAAAATTGCGACAAGACGTCATACTTAATCAAATAGACTGTAGTTCCTAATATGGTGTAATATCTCATTTGTATTCCCTACCACTAGATGGCAGACATGTAGTACTTCGATTCTAGACCAAAATTACGTCACGTTCCTATTCAAAGTGTTTGAGGAAAGAGCAGAGCAAGTGAGCTTTCGTGTCATTGATGAGGAAGCAGTTCAGTTCATAGCATAAGCTGTGAGATTTGTGAGAGAAAATCGCCAAATGGCTAATAAAAAGTTGTACCGTGAGGATGTGTTGCAAATGTTATTCGCCGATTCTGACTCTGAAGGGGAATATTTGCCTTTTGGAAATGACTATCGGTCGTCTAATGATCGCGCTTCTCCCAGTACATCTTTGCAGCGCAATGGTGCCGCCGTGCAAGGCGCGAGTGTTCACGAAGCACAAACAAGTGATCATTTCAACCCTTTGCCCAACGGGGATGGGGGTGGCAGGGCAATATCTATTATTTACTGAATATTACTGATGAACTGATCAAAAAGTAGGCTACTGTTCACATGCGTTTTACTACTATATAGTATAGTAATATAGTAATAATTTAGCACTTTCTCCTGTTTTATTGTTGGGTTCCTCTTTTCTGATCATTTGGAATGAGGATAAAAAGACAAAAAAAAAAACATGCAAATAAGTTCCAACATCAATGTAATATCTATTATTTCCTGAATATTATGACATTCAAGAGGGCCGCCTCTGATGACGTCATAATATGCACATTAGACGAGTATATTTACACCCCACATAAACTTTCGGTCATGCCCATCATTTTTCAAATTTACATTAGATCTCTATCTTTAAGCCCTTTCAAGCCACAAGCTTTTGAAATCTTGATGTCAAAATCCAGCATTTTTCCAAAAAACCCTGGCGCCTAAAGGGTTAATTCTGATCCTATTCATCAGGTCTTGCACGCACTGCAGCATCACAGTCACTATTTAAACAAGCACTGACACAGTGTAGTGAAATCATCACGCATGTTCACTAGTGCCGTGTTCGATACGACGATGTATCGTCACAGAGATTTGACGATAGGAGTATCGATACAGCTGTCCCTGTATCAATATTGGCACGTGTGCAGCAGTGGACTGCGCTTAATTTGAATAAAAGAACAGTTTAAAACGGAGTAGAAAAGTGCAAGGTTTCTAAAAAATTACGAATGGAGCATAATATATAGGCTACATCCAGGTTTAATCTGACCGCAGAGGAACACAACCGGGGTTGCCTGATATAAAGAGTATCAAAAATACTGGCCTTTGTTAATAATAGGCTACTTAGTAAAGAGATGCCATTAAACACAATTAAAATATACCACCTTTATGCTGTTTCCACATTAATTTGGAGGTTCAATGTGAAATTGACAATATATTAATATGCAATTAATCATGATTAATTACAGAAAAATTTGCAATTAATTAGTTTTTTTAATCGACTGACAGACAGCACTAATTTTAGCCTTTTATAGATGTTGGTGTTGGTAATATTAGTTGATTTTACTGCTGAATATGCATTTGAATTTAATTTCTAATTTTATAGGCCCCCTCAGAAAGAGATCGGGATGGCCCCCCACCCCCCTTCAAAATTTCAGTTCAATATTCCGGCCCTCAAATGAAACTAATTGAATAGCCCTGTAATATAATATACTATATAATATACTAGAGTACATTACAATATAAATTTATTAGAACGAGTACATTATTATTTATGGGCTTAAAAACAAAATGCAGTCAGAATATTGTACCTGGTGGGGAGTGCCCAATGTAAACATGAAACATATGCCATAATATATACAGCGGGTAAAATAAGTATTGAACACATCTCTATTTTTCCCAATAAATATATTCTAAAGGTGCTGTTGACATGAGATTTTCACCAGATGTCGGTAACAACCCAAGTAATCCATACATACAAAGACAACAAAACAAATAAGTTCAGAAATTAAGTTCTGTGTAATAAAGTGGAATGACACAGGGAAAAAGTACTGAACTACTGAAACGTTTTCAACACTTCGTACAAAAGGCTTTGTTGGTAATGACAGCTGTCTAGAGAAACTAGTGGCATGATTGTCTCGCTGGAATGTCCACCCTTGTTTCATCTTCATCATCCTTAGTGGGTCACAAAACCCACGGTTCAGATCATATTATGGATTTTGAGTCACGGATCAGATCAGATCATTTTTCGGATCAGCAAAAAAAAAAAAGAAATAGTGAAAGCTTACTTTAAGTTCTTCTATACCACAGCAAAAACTACTAGCTTAACTAAGTATTTATTGGCTGCTGTCTCTTTAAGACCATATTATTTTTTTTGAAACAATTGTACCTATTAATTCCAGGTCTTTCTGAAGCTCTCCACAAGTGATCCTTGGCTCTTAGAAAACGCTTCTGATCATTCTTTTCACTCCTCTGTCAGAAATCTTGCGAGGAGCACCTGGTCGAGGCCGGTTTATGGTGAAATGATGTTCTTTCCACTTCCCAACATTCAGAAGTATAGAAATCCTTCTGTAACCAATGCCATCAGTATGTTTTGCAACAATAAGGTTGTGAGGGTATTGAGAAAGCTCTTTGCTTTTACCCATCATGAAATGTTTTTTGTGTGATACATTGGTAATGAGACACCTTTTTATAGGCCATCAGTTGGGACTGAAGCAGCTAATATTAATTTCCACTGATGAGGGGCAGGATTGCTTTCTAATTACTGATAGATTTCAGCTGGTGTCTTGGCTTTCCGTGCCTTTTTGCACCTCCCTTTCTTCATGTGTTCAATACTTTTCCCTTGTGTCATTCTACTTTATTACACAGAACTTAATTTCTGAACTTATTTGTTTTGTTTTCTTTGTATGTATGGATTACTTGGATTGTTACCGACATCTGGCGAAAATTTCATGTCAACAGCACCTTTAGAAATATGTTTACTGAGAAAAATGGTGATGTGTTCAATACTTATTTTACCCGCTGTATTGTACTGTGGTAGAGTTATGGAGGCCCTTCATAATGCAGAGGTGAACTGCCTGCTCTGCCTATAGTTAGCAATGGCCCTATATAGTATGCGGTGTTTAATAAACAGCTGTTTTACTAAATTCTGCTGAGGTGAAATTCAGTGCAGTCCTGTATCGTGTTACGTATCGTATCGTGGCCTCTGTATCGGGATAGGTATCGTATCGTGACTTTGCTGGTGATACACAGCCCTAATGTTCACAAGTCATGGCTTTCTCAGATCAGCTTACGTTAGATTAAAACTAAAGTTCCATTGAGTTTGGAAAATTATGTGCACAGTAACCATCAGGATATCTCTTCACCTGTCTCTGAAAATGTCCGGATTTTGAAATCATCCAGCAGATGCTCATTTTAACAGGTGTTTATTCAACTAGGTGATTACAGCACATTGAAAAATATACATAGCCGGATGAATCGATACACTGCTTCGACGAGCACTTCCGGTAATCAATTCCGCTGTGATAAACGTCTATTATGTTATTAGGCCATTTACCTGATGAAACGGTTAACACGGAGCCTCATTCATAACAACATAACCAGTCAACAGTCAACAACATCAAAAAAAAGCATCTCACCATCTTAATCTCCCAGTTAACGTTCCACTGCTTCATGTTGCTGAAGCGCCAGGTCTTGATGGCGTCTCCTGTGCTGGCGTCCATACGGATCAGTCTGTTGTAGGTGATGCCAATCAGCTCGTCTTTCTTGCCCCCCTGGAACCTAATGTGAAGAAATTTAACAATTACAGGCTCAGTGTTTATCCAAGCAGATGTTGTGAGGAGACAATGAGAAGAAATATAGAAGACATGAGGAAATTACTTTTTAAAGGGACAGCTCACTCTAACATGTAGATTCTGTCATTTACTCACCCTCATGTCATTACAAACTCATATGAATTTCATCCAAGGAACACAAAATGACAAATTATATAGCCCATGTAAATAACGTAGCCCACATGACGTGCGCACTTAAATTCTTTATAAGCCTTCCAAAGCTATGTCATCTATTTGTGCAAGGCTGAAAATTAAGTTATGCATTGAAAATATTGACACAACTCTACTTGGCACGTCCATGAGAATTCATGCAAGTAGCAGCACTGTCCAATTTGTGAACTGATGATTTCTTGAGCCAGATCTTCCCAAAGAATTGCTTGATCTGGTCCTTGAATTCAACTCACTGACTCAATGATCTGGTTTCTGTGATTTACAGCTCAGTTGGGGGTTAAAATTACACTTTGAAAGCATCAGTCAATAGTTTCTGCAGAAGAAAGTAAATTATATGGGTTTGGAACAACATGAAAGTGAGTAAATTATGTTAAAACCAGAATGAACTGTGAACTTTAAAAAGGACATTTTTATTGGCACACAAACATGTAATCAAGATATCTGAGAGACAGAAACGTCAGGTTTAGGCGACACTCACTTGGCAAGAAAATGGGTGATTCCAAACTCTGGCAAGGACTGCCAGGCCTGTATGAAGCGCATCTTGGCCTCGATGAGGCTCATCTGCGCCACATTCTGATGGGCTTCCAGAATACGGGCGGAAATCTGAGAATGATGCATGCGTGAACATTAATATACAAGTGCTATAAGCCATCATAACTTCAGCAGAAGGTCAGAGTGAACACATGGACACACTGTCATCAGAAAACAACCCCAGAGAAGAATGAAACACCAGACGTGTCAATATGATATCGCTGCATTAAATCACCACAAATATCACAGTGAACACATGAGATGCTCCTCTTGTTCAAGCATCGCTTATGATACGTTACACATGCGGCATAACACACATTCACAGAAGCCATTACAATCCCAGCTACCGTCGTTTAGTCCCTATTTCCCCAGAACATGAAACATTTTCACATCAGAAGCAAATGAGTGACGTCACAGGGGTCTCCCGCAGATCAGTTACGTGCCTCATGAAAGCTTCAATCAGAGCTACAAACTCCCTGAAAGAGTCAGTCAATGAAACAGAAGCCCTTTTCAAAAAAGGATTTCCATGAGATTTTAGATGTACTATGAGACAAATGTGTTGATTATAGTTGAAACTATGGAGCTCCTAAGAGGACATGGTGATGAAAAAAAATATGAGATGGGAGGAAAAATGATCAATTTCAATGATTCTGCTTCCTCCTGAGAAATTTTGAGTTGTCTCGCAAACTATTGCATTCGACCAAGAAACTTTGCATTCCCTTGCAAAACTATTGCATATGCACACAAGAAACTTTACAGTCTCTCGCAGAACATTTTCATTCTCTCGCTAAACTATTGCATTTTCCCAAGAAACTTTACAATCCCTCGAAAAACTATTGCATTTGCCAAGAAATCTTACATTCTCTCGCAGAACTACAACATTCACCCAAGAAACTATACATTCTCTCGCTAAACTTTAGATTCTCTTGCATAACAATTGTTCTCTCGCAAAACTATTGCATTCGTCCAAGAAACTTCACATTCTCTTGCTAAACATTTGTGTTATCTCGCAAAACTATCGCATTCGCCCAAGGAACTTTACGATCTCTCGCAGAACTACTGCATTCATGTAGTTTTTCCTCACACCTCATTGTTTCCACCACAAAGGTTTTGCAAAAAAAAAACAATTTATCTGGGGAGTGCCAAAGGTTTGCAAACAAATTCTAAATTTCTCAGGGGAATGCAGAAGTTTTGTGAGAGAACGAAAAACGCATCTCCGTTTTTCTACCATCACCATGTCTTTTTAGGGGCTCTGTAGAAAACTGCATTGTGCATCTAAAATAATATAACAAAACAATAATTGTAAATGATGATAATATATTTTGGGATATAATCATGCTTAAACTGATCAAAATAATTGTGCTGACAGTTTTACAGATTAATATTACATTATAAGCCTCAAGGTCACGGGACTACAAGCTGCTTTTGTATTCATTTGAATATTTCTAAAAATATCCACCACATGAGAGCCTATACATAATTTGACTTTTAACAGCATTCAGTCAGATAGCTGTCCTGGAGGAGACACCAGTGACTCAACACATTATCTTAAATGTTAAAATGTGAGCTTTGGGGTGAGCTACAGCTATAAATGGTAAAGTGGATCTCTGGAGTAAGACACAGCACCAGTGTTAGTGAGTCATGGACATTTACCAGCCGTCAAACGAGTGACTTACCAAGTCCCTGACAAAGCCTGGCTGAGGAGGGTGGAAACAGGAAGTGGAACACGGAGAGGAAACAAGGGAAAAGCAAATAAATGAATAAAGCAGCAAACAGGCAGAATAACAGAATCAAAACAACCATTAATGTACAGAGAAAGAAAAGGGCAGGGTGTGCAAGTGAGTTTACAGCAGGGGAGGATCATGAGGATCAGATGGACAGGAGAGATCAGAGGAACACACTGCACTGGGATCACATTAGATCCGACCGGATTGAATGTATATATTGTGCAGATGTAGAAATGTGTCAGCTAGCAGAGATCCTGAAATACCGTTGATCTGAAACCAAGCAGAAGACTATTGTAGTCTGCAAACTGGGGTGATTGAACTGTAGATTCATCCTCGCTGATTAAAATTGGACAATCCAGTGGAAGCTGTTTTTGCACTGATGTCCGACTGACTCGTTTAAAATAACAGTTTATTATGTTGGCTTGTCAAAGCCAAAACGCTGATCTACTAAGCTTATTATTCTTCGGAGACCAAATTTCTAACTCGTCCTAGAGTTTTTAAGCTATGACCACCAAACTTGGCACAACCCTTCAGAATGTTCTAACTCTGTATTCTCTATCTTTTCTAACTGATCTGACTTTCAGAATTCCAGTATCAGACTTCCAAACAGTTCCACATACACTTTCAATGAGGGGGTCAAAAGCTTCATACAATGCCTCTTATAGAAAGAGTTATTGTTTGCTATTATTGTAAAATATTGTAAAGCTAAAGTATTCTAAAGCATGCTAGCAACATGTTAACTCATACATGCTAAACGTGCAAAAAAATAAAAGAAACATGTTAGCAACATAAATCATACCAGCAATGTGCTAAAACATGTTGGAAATAGACATGGGCCGGTATGAGATTTTGACGGTATGATAACCTTAAGCAAAACTATCACAGTTTCACGGTATCACGGTATTGTTGTTGCAGCTCTAAAATGTGTTAATTTGAAATGTCTGGGTAAAAAAAAAAACTGAACAATAAATTCTGAGCAACATACAGAATATTTGGAACAGTACTATTTGTTTATTTTTTCTTTGATTTGTTTCTGAAATGTGGGTTGTCCTGCAGCTTTTGATGTGGATGATTGATTTGCTACTAGAGCTACTGCTGCCCTAAAAAGAAGAAAAATAAAGACTGACATATTTATTTAACATAAATGCATACCTTGACTCTAGGGGTCAAACAACTAAAAATCAAGTCAGGAATCTTGGTGTGATTCTGGAGACAGACCTTAGTTTCAGTGGTCATGTCAAAGCAGTAACTAAATAAGCATACTATCATCTAAAAAACATTGCAAGAATTAGATGTTTTGTTTCCAGTCAAGACTTGGAGATAAACCTCTTAAATCAAATTTTAAATCATTTTCTATATTTTTAAATTCCTTGTTTTATTGTTGGGATTATTATTTTTTTTATTATTTTATTTTCTTTTATGTAAAGCACTTTGAATTACCATTGTGTATGAAATGTGCTATATAAATAAACTTGCCTTGCGCATCATGAACAGTGAGTGATCTGCCTGCTACAGTATTTTTCTCTGTACGTCCGACTTCAGCGTCTCTGGCCTGTGTTAACGGCCGTTTACAGATTTCATATTTTCACATAAAGACATTTGGAAAATGATATGCATTGCAACGCAGTTTGTGCAACAGAGATCGGCTGCAATAAAACATTAAACGGCCAGTTGCCGATCGCGCAAGTTCCAGGGGAAGCTCCTTAAGTTCGTCCATCCTACACACACGTGACTGACCGCTCGCTTGCACCAACAGGAGGGGGATGGGTCGTGTTACTCTAATCGTGGTATACCTTGAAACCGGTAATCGGCCCATGTCTAGTTGGAAACATGCTAAAATATGTGCTAAAACATGTAAGCGATGAGTAAAACTATGCAACACTCAGTTACATTACAAAAATGCTAATGCATACTAACAAAATCCAACAACATGATAACAATGCCCATCAATTACCAGTAGAGGACTCCAACGGTCTAATGGGCTCAGAAGTAGTTTTTATTGGTCTGTCCGTCTTTGACTTCTGAGTAAAAACTTTCAAACTTCAATCTTTTAAAAATTATTATAAACTTTCAGGCAAGCCTTGGTCAAACCAACATCCAAACATCCATTTTTATATCTTCCGATTTGTCCATTAAGCTCAAAAAAAAAAAGAGAGAGAAAAAAAAAAAACATTCTTTAAGCACAAATCAGAACATTTTTAAACATATAAAATGGGGTCAAAGTTCATAGCTGAGCTATAGTTTATGATTAACCTGAAATGTTTTCATCACACTTCAAACTATACACCCTTGACTCCACAAGGTGGCACCACACACATTTAAACCCAAGAACACTACAGAGACCTATGAAATTCCCCACCATTTGGATGACAACATCCGCTTTCCTGATCCTGTCGAGTCTGGAAGTGAGAAAGTCATCTATCCTTGTTTCCCAAAGTTCAGTGCTTACTGACCCATGTCCTCTAGGAATAAAATCCCAGAGGAAGCCTCTGAAGAAAATAAATTGAGCTTGTAATGCATGGATTAGAAGTGCTCCGAAATCATCCGGACTCTAAAGTCTCACAAACAAACTGCTGTCTTCTTCCCAGGCTGCCTCTGCACATTCCCAGGCACGGCTTGTTTCCTGTATTTTTTTCCCGCCTGTTTCTGAAGACCCCACCCCAGCTCCTCAAAGTTTCTTCCAGCGATAAGCTGCTGGTGGAGCGAGTGTGATGTGAGGACAGGAAGCCCACCATCCCCCAGCTTCACAGGAGCTGGATTGAGTCCAGGGCCACTGTAAGACGACACCAGCAGCAGCGCACAGGAGCCGTCTGTCGACTCCCACACAGGAGCCCTCCCTACATACTTTCACTTTACTCTTGTTTTTCAATCAAGTACTACAAAAACGACATCACTCTGAGAAATTTCACTGGACACTCTGCATATCCATATCAAGATGAGTGTCTCTGTGCTAGAAAAAGATGATTTTGTTTTTTAAATTTTTGTAAATATTTTTCTTACTAGTACCAAGTAGGACTTGGTGATATTTAAAATGTGGTATGTATTTAATATCTGACGTTTATTTAGTATGTAGGCATGTGATCAGCTAAGGAAAAAATGAAAACCAGTTTTTCGCTCTTCAGTATAACTATTATTAAAAACACTAATATATATTAGTGTGCGTGCATTGTGTGTTTTACTACACACACTATATATATATATATATATATATATATATATATATATATATATACACACACACACACACACACACACACATACATATATAAAATTTAAATAATGTAATGTAAAATAAAAATGAGCATTTAATAATAATAATAATAATAATAATAATATTGATTGTTATTATTATTGTTATACAAAACAACAGCAAAATTACAATTCTAATATTTAACATTTATAAACAATTTTCGCTACAAATAAGCAACCCAAACAGCAATTGCAGAGATGGAGTTCATATGGAGCAGCATCTACTGTGAACCGAGCTGCTTCGAGATGTTGAAAACACCGGATCGTGAGCTGCTCATATGTAAATGAACACAGTGCTGTGCTTTACTTTAATAGCAACTCCACAACAGAGGTTTTTACCCATGTGTGTTAATTTTGGACCCTGAATGAGACACAAAGGGTGTTCTGCACACAACCACAACAGTGCCATGCAGTGCTGTTTCAAGCAACCCATGCATGTATTTTAAATTTGAAAACTTATCAATTTTTTCCACTGATTTACACAAATTCATGTGGTTCATTCTTAAGGTCAGAAAATACAAAAATGCATATAAATACAGAAAAAAATTAATCACATTGCTAAGCATATTTATAATTTTATGATCATATGATGATCATAATTTTAATGTACTTTTTTGTCAACGAAGCTAAAGACCAAGTAGGTCAGTTTTGTGACTTCGCGTTGAGACTGAACCTGATTTAAAAATCAGCAGCAAAAATGTCAACCACTTTCAACAATGAATTTGCTTCACTTGCATGCATTAGTAAATAAATATGTGTAAACATATTGCTGTTTATTACTATGTATTAGTAAATAAGTCTCTTGACCTGCCTCCCTGCCTGTCTTCAGCTCTCTGCCGTCAGTGTCAGTCTGTATTCTGTACTGCAGCGGCAGACCGGTCTCTCATTTACCTGCTTGTTCTTGTACTTCTTCAGGTATCGTGGAGACACCAGGCACTCAGGGTTGATGTCGGTGGTGATGGGCTCTATGATCTGAGGATCAGGATTCATGTGCTGCATCTTCAGGAAGGACAGAATGTTCTGGACCTCCAAGTTGTAGGAACTATCTGCCATCGTCTTCCCTTTGGAGGCCAAACGGCAAGCCGCCATCCACTGAGCGTACTGCTTCTCCTGAAGGACAGGGAAAGGTGTTTGATCCTGCATGATCCATGCTTTTGTAACAACTCGTTTAGATTATTGTAATTCACTTTATTACGGTGTTTCTCAGTCTTCTCTCTCCCGTCTACAGCTAGTGCAAAATGCAGCTGCTAGACTACTCTCTGGTTCTGGCAAGTATGAGCCAGTTACTCCTATTTTATCTGCACTGGTTACCCATTAAATATAGAATTGATTTTAAAATTATTTTACTTGTGTGTAAAGCCCTGTCTACTCATTGTGCCTAGATCTAGACTTAAAAAACGAGGTGATCGCGCTTTTGCAACTGCAGGTCCGAAACTCTGGAACGGTCTAACTCTTCATATTAGATTAGCCCCTCTATTTCTGCTTTTAAGTCTGCTCTATAGACATTTATTCTCTCTAGCTTTCAATTCCCCTTGATCATTGGTTCAATTGTTGTTTTGTTTTTGTTGCGTTTTAAATTTGTTTCTTCTTATTTCTGAGTTTTGTATTCTACTCTGTACAGCACTTTGGTCAGCTTCGGTTGTTTTTAAATGTGCTTTACAACTAAAGTTATTAAAGTATAAAGTACTTTAAACAATAGTTGTTTAAAGTAAAACAACTATTGTATTGTATCCTCTGAGTGCCAGTGTACATTTACTATCACTGAGATGCTATTATAGTTTTTTAATTCGTTTTTTTTTTTTTTCTATTTTCTGTTTTAATTTTAATTTTAAAGTTTCAGCAATTTTGTTTTATGTTTTTGTCAGTTTTATTACTTTTTGGGGACTTTTCTGTCTATTTTTATGAAGATGTATTTCAGTTTGAATCAATACTAAATGAAAATGAGGTATGTTACTCTGGCAACTAGCTGAAATAAATAATTATTTCATGTAACACTTTTTTTTTAATAGTTTTAGTTAACCACAATAACCCTGATGAGTCTGTATAATTACTTTTGAAGCAGCAAGTCAAGTAACATGCTACTTTTCCTTTTAAAGACAAGTGAAAATGTGAGGCGATTTAATGCTCAATAATGTGTGGCAATCAATAGAAGTGTCTCACTCACAGCATCACACCGCAGCCAGATCTCATTCATACCATCTGCTACAGGAATTAGCAACTTGATGTTGAATTTCTGACCGGAAATGTTCACATCTGGTGTGACTTCACAGCCTACAGAGAAACAGCGGATGAGATGCAGTGCTGATGTGGTAAACAAACAGCGTTTCTGACCGCGTCTGTTGCGAGCGGTCACCTCTCAGGTTCATCTGGTGCGCCGGCGTGCCATGGGCCTCCTCGCGGCTCTTGTAGCAGGAGATTGTGATGTCCTTGAACGTGCACCAGTACTGCTTGTATCCTTTCAGAGTGAGTTTCTTTGGTCTGAGGTATGAGCAAAAGATCAAAGGGAAATCTCAAAATCAAAGGGAAATTCCTTTGATAAAAGACCTGTCTCGAATGCTGATCAGGTCTGTGACGCCCGCTCTTTCAATATTCAATATAGCAAAATATAAGCACATTATAATAAGCATTATTAATAAGCAGACCCATTTCGCTTAAACAAATTAATTAATTAATTTGTAATTAATTTAGTTGCCACTAGTGTAGTGGAAATGACAACATTTACACTTTAAATAGACTAATACATAGACAGAGCCTTGCTTTATTATTATTATATATTTTTTTTTGCCTTGCACTAATTCAAGCTTATGAGACCAAAAACAATAAATCTCAACATATTTTTCAATCCTTCAACTCACTTGAAGACTTTCATGTAGTCAGCCAGTTCAGGAATGGATGTGATGTCACCCTGAGAACACAAAGTGTATTAATAAAGTTGTTGGTGTAATGTCAAAATTGTTATGGTCACAGTCTGCATAACAGCTGCACGCCGCTCATGTTACAGCAAGAAGAATATTCAGAATACACCGTTTTGATTTCATTTTTTAATGTCATTGTTTTTATTTCAGCATGCTTATTATGATTAAACCAACTCCAATTCTGTCTGCAGTATAATGCTATCCAATTACTGCACTCAAACTCCAGAGGATATGACTCGCTTACAATGATCAAACCAGTCATTTTTAAATAATATTCCTTTATTTGAATGACTTCAATTTGAAGCAATACTTGGAGATTTTTTTATGGAATGAAAAGCATGAAATCAATGTGAATAATATTTCTAATTTGTACAGTCTTTCCTCATAATTAACGTTTAATGTGATGTATAATGTTGTCTAATTCTACTGTTCTTCATGGTGATGTTATTTGTATTACATCCTTGCTTTTTGATTAAAAAAAAAACAGTGCTTAGACTGAAGTACTGCACTTACACATACAGCAGGCATGTGTGCTTCCCTTTTAAATGACGAAATATGCGTCAGAATAACATGGCACCATTTTTCTTTGTTTCATCATACCTGATTAATGAGGTTGGTGTGTTTAGATGAAGTATTTGTGGTGAACTATGTCGATAAACCACAACAAGCCCATGCTATAGGCACTGCATTGACACAGGCTACAGCAGGAATTATTTCATTCTAATATTTGAAGCTTCTGCTTTTCGAATGCAGAGTGTGATAAAGGCCTACAGGTGTGTGTCTGTGGCTGTAACGGAAGTAGGAAGAATTATTATTGCATGAGATTGCAGTACCATCGTGTTGGATGTCTTTCCTCCCTCGAGAGTGATCTCCAGATCTGACAGAGCTGCATCAACCTCATCGACCTCCTTCTCACTGTTGTTCATGTGATTGTCTGAAGACATGATGGACAGCTTGTTGATGTGGTACTGCAAATAAAAACATATTAATATCGTAAATTCTTTGTTGTGATATTTAACCCTCTCCCACATCTAACATTTAGCTAAGTAAAAAAAAAAAAATTGTCAACGTAAATGTAAAAAAGTATTTAGAAAATGTTGACAACTTGTATGCATTTGTGAAATGTAACATTTTCATGAATTTGTTAACTGTATTCACACACGTCCTCAGTTCCAGAGCTGCACATCGTCAAACTCTTACAAAATAAAGGGGAAATAAAGTTAATAAAATATTTACTTTGACCTCCTGACAGGACAAATATGCGGTCCTGTCCCACATGTTGCAAGCTACACTGTTACTGGATGATTTTCCCAATTAAATAAAACTGAATTTGTCAGTGTTCATGTTAAATGTGTTTTTTTAGGTTTTAAACTTTTATGCATTTGTGAAATTTAACAATTATTTTGTATTTGTTTTCATGAAATGGTTTTAAACTGTATTCATACATGCTGCAAAAACTCTTACAAAATAAATGAAAAATAAAAAAGCTAATGTAATATTTACTTTGACCTCCAGTAATGAACAAACAACATTTAACATTTTTAAAAATTTTCTGTATCAGTGTTATTTTAGTATCATTGATACACTATTGTAGTTTTTTTCAATGGGTTTTTAATTCAAAATAAAATATTTTTAAATATATTTAGAATTATTATTTTTTTATATATTTTTTCATTTAAATTTTAGTTTAAAGTTAATTTTAACATTTATTTATCATTTTCTGTATCAGTATTATTTTAGTATCACTGATACGCTATTATAGTTTTTTCCCAATCAGTTTTTAACTCAAAATAAAATATATATTTTTTTAAATTAGATTTTTTTTTATTTTATTTTAATTTTAGTAAAAGTTTAAAGTTAATAATTGAACATTTATTTCAGTGATACTAACACAATTTTTGACACTGTTTTTTTGTTAACTATAATACTATTCATGTACGAGTTTAAAGCCTGTGACCCTCTACATTGCGAGTAAATCACTCGCATATGCGACTAAATCTTACTCTGGGCGACTAAATGATGTCTAACATTAGCCATTGGATAATAAATTCTTAGATTTTACACGCCAGTAAGTGCACATTCAGTTATTTATGAAGCTGTTCCATTTTACAAAAATAAGCTGATTGGGTGGAATCATGTGTGAGTGTGTGTGTGTGCGTGTGTGTACCTACTTAACCATATTTTGGGGACACATTTGTACCCAAAAGTGAGCAAAACCTGACAAAATCGGCAAAAACCTCAATTTGTGGATGTCCTCATTTGTAAAACTGTTATAAAAATAAAGTAAACAAAGTTTTTTTCTGTGGGGGTAGGGTTAGGGGTAGGGGTGGGTCTAGGTTAAAAAGTGTATAATTTTAGTCATTTAGACATCATATAATTTTAGTCATTTAACTATCTGTATATAAAAACAATCGAAGTCTATGTAATGTCCCCATTTAGATAGCTAAGTAAACGCACGCGGGCGCGCGCGCACGTGTGTGTGTGTGTGTGTGTGTGTGTGTGTAAAATAGTATATCAGTCTGGCGAGAAAACAAAAAAATGTACTAGCCAATGGCGATTATATTGCCAGGGTGTGCGTAGAGGGTTGGCCTGTGACCTCGTTCTCCTAATTACAATTAGCTGTCAAACGATCCCCATGGTGCTACAGCGAACAGTTGGACTACAGAAGCATATTTCACTGTACGCTGATGACAGCTCCGCTTTCAAAATAGAGACTAAAGGTATTTTCATGTCACCATCTCTCTGCTCAGATAAGAGTAGTTAGTAGGTGAATGACACACCGATTTCTCTCAACGGTTAACAGCCCCACTATAAAGCTGGCTAAACTTAGAGCTGCTGATGTTTGACGCCGCTGAGCTCTTCTACCCAGAGACACGGTGCAGGTCCAGAGCCAGACTCATATCCTCTGACTGAACGTGGTGTGGACTGATGGGGAGGGACAGACCTGACTAATTTAAACTCGCTGTACGTAAACAGAGAAAGTCGACACCACTGATACACCTCCACAAATCCCTGCTGGAGCAACCCACACCTCCTTAGGCTGGAGACTCCGGGTGGTCTCCCATGTCCCACCTCCCTCGAACAGACGCCCGCTCTATATTTACATGATGTGAAGACAGTGAGGCGTCCTGAGGTGTTGTCACTCAACATTTATGAGGGTCTGAAATAGCAGGGTCATCGCTGGCCAAAGGGCCAGTTAAAACAAACGCCACAGCCTAACGTTTGCATGCTGCAGATGCTACGCAGTCAGGCACAGAGCCCATCCAATTCATTAACAGGGCCAGAGGACCCGAGTGAAGACTGCAAACTGTCAAAAGTCGGGCGTTGGCATAAATTCTGCCGAGGTTTGGACGTGCACGTACCTGCAGGGCGGCGAACATCATCATCTCCTCCTCGGTGCATTCGATCTCCTCCAGCAGGATGGCCCACTTGGCCTGCTCATACAGCTGGTTCACCCTGATGGCATCATACTGCAGGGGTCAGGAGAGGGTTAAAAACACGACACCACAACACCACTTCCAGCACACCGTCCTTACAACATAAGTGCGTAGATCCCTCTGAGAGGCCTACGGGTGAGCATAATGCACACTATATGTAACTATACTCATATACAACCTTAAAGAGGTCATGAAATGCAATATTTGATGTTTCCTGAGGTGCACTTATCATCTTAGTATGGTATTTTCATAAAAAAAGATGAAACCTTTTTTTACCCAAATTTAGCCTCTGATAAATTCTTTATTGTAATATTTGACCCTCTCCCACATCTACCATTTCCCAATTTAATACAAGTGAATAAATCAATGTAAATGTTAAAATGCAAATGTAAAATGGGCTGCAAACACTGCTAAACTCTTACAAAAAAGGAAAAAATAAATACAATATTTACTTGTCCCACATTTTGCAAGCTACACTGTTACTAGATGATTTTCCCAATTAAATAAAACTGAATTTGTCTATGCGAATGTTCATGAAATGCAATTATTTTATGTTTGCTGAGGTGCAATTATCATCTTAGTATGGTATTTTAATCAAAACTGGTCATAATGTAGAAACAAATTGTCATTTTCTACCCACGTTTAGCCTCTGATTTGAACACACTGTTAGAAGGGGCGTGTCCACTGTGAGACTTCAATGGAAACTCCCACTGCTATGATTGGCTGACATCTTTGCATATGAAATGAGCATTACATGTGGAACTCTCTTGAAAACTTTTATTATGCCAGGATGAACTAATGGGGAAAAGTGTTGATTACAGCATTACATTTAGAGCATCAAAGCACTGCACTAAAGTCATGTCTACTGAGCACATGATGATAACAATCATCTTCTTACTGCGACGTGATTTCTGCAATCTCAGCAATACTTTTACCATAACTTACAAAGTGCAACACAGTGTAAATAAGAGACTCGTTGAGCAATGTAAACTGAGCCACTGATTATAACAGGATTTTTGGCGAAAATGCAGAAATCCCCAATAGACTCGCTCTGCTCCAGCTATTATAAAGACAACAATCTCTGATCACTTTCTGTATATAAAATAATCACAATATAGATGTTTTATATGCTACTGACAGGAATATCAAGAATGTTTTGATTTTCTATTGCATGACCCCTTTAGAGTTAGAGTTATACTTTATTGTCTTTTGTAGGAAATTTGTCTTGGACTCAAAGCTGCAGCAATACACACCAACCACACAAAACAACAACAACAACAACACTTTTGTTAGTTAAAATACCATCACAATTACTGCAATTTACTATTTAAAATCCTAATAGATACAGGTATAAATGAATTCTTACAGCGATTGCTTCTACATAATGGAACTTTAGACTTTTCGCCCATTCAATTGTCTGTTTTCAATTTTTACCATGGATTAATTTACAAACAAGGCACAATTCGATGCGGGATTTTCAAAAAGATTGAAACTAAAAGACAATGCTGTGCGACTATATTGGATCTGAGAGTAATGTCGCAACACAAGTGCGAGTAACTGTTTTTGTTCTTACAGATCGTTTGGTTGAATTGCATTATTTATGCGTTTTTGACCTAAATCACAGCAGCGTCCCATCTATTGGCGCTTTTCCACTGCATGGTACGACTCGGCTCGGTACGGCTCAGTACGGCATGGCACAGTTCGGCTCGGCACGGTTTGCGTTTCCACTGCACTTCAGTACCGCTTTAGAGTGGGTGGGTTTATTCACATGTGGACACAAAATAACTTATTACTTCTAAATTATGATGCTTTTTGATGTAAAAATCTTGACAACATTGGACCTCAAAGAACAGTGCAAAATAAAAAAAAAGGCAGTTCATGACCTCTTTAAGAGCTTGTGTGTGATACTGGAATGTCCTATTCAGCATTGTGTGCATATGATTATATGTGATAAGGTGCAAAACACACTGACCTTTGGGTTGAGGTCAAAGAAGCTGTGGTACTTGAACCGGAGCAGAAGAACCTCGTTCTCCTTCACATCCTGCTCCATCAGTGATCTGGAGGAGTCCAGCCACCTTCACAAAGACATTCAGAGGAATATGAGTGCAAACCTTCCTGAATCACTGAGTCTTCACACACCAGATCTGTCCCAGCTTACCCCTGGTTGATCTTGGCCTTGTCCAGGAGGGACTGTGGTTTGTACATCTTGACCAGAATGTCGGGTGAGGAGATGGGCTGGCTGACAGCGAGGATGCTGGGATTGCCTTCTGACAGCGGACTGTCTCCAAACCACGCTGTGGTGGGGGACAGAGGGCTGCCGTCCCGAGAGTCATAGGTAGGTGTCATGGTCTTGCTGTAAAGTCCAGGACTAGAATAGATGCTTCCTGAAATGAGAGGCATCTGTCAGTAACCACCCAAAACAGCCGTCAAACCAATTCACACGACAAGCTGGATGGAGGGCTGGGCGGAATGACGTTTATTTTAATGTTTCATCCAGTAGAGAGTGATTTAGGTTTTGTAACCATGGTGTAGCTGTAGGTTGTTCGTGCCTTTCAAGCAAAAGAGCAATTTGGCGTATTTATAAAGAAATCAACAGTCAGAGGGGTGTGCTTATATGGTCTTACATATTTACAGCCGCTTGCCATAATGTTTTTGTTTTTTTTTCAACTTAGGTTCATCATAATTTTTTGGTCTTCTTCCATTAAACTATAAAAAGATTAAATATAGATTATAATATTACACAAAATTAAATAGGAATTATTACACTGATACAAAAATTATTTTGGGTTGAATAATTTTCTGCAAAAATAGCTTTGGACCCTTTTCACATTTCCCAATAGCTAGCAAAAAAAAAAAAAAAAACACTTTACAAAAGAGGGAAAAGATTATGTTGGTCAGAAGAGAGAAATGTGTCAAATTTGCATGCAGCACCATTTAAGTTTTATGCAATGTATTCCAAGGCAGTTTAACAGCAAAATATATAGTTATTATAAATGTACATTACTAAAAAACAGAAAATTATAAATGGACCCTTTTTACGGACTGTGATGTGTAGTCCACAGTCCATAAAAAAAAAAGTCAATTTATTAAAAATAATAATAATAACACTAACAGTTGTGCAGCTAATTTAACTCAAGTCTGTTATTATGTTTCTACTCTGACTAGGCCTGTCGCAATAATCAATATATTGACATATTGCGCAATATATGTACATGACCTCAATAATTTTTGGTGACGCAATATATCACCCATTATATTTACATCAAAATATTTGTGCATTTTTCTTTTTTTCTACTTCTACTTTGCACTTTTTGTTAGAAAATGTTTATTTACTATTTATTCAGGTTTTTTAAGGTATCTAATATTTTG